AAAGAACTTTCTGGTTGTGCTTCTTCTGAGACAAGTGGGGCCGGATAATTCCTTGCCGATGGGGAATGATGCACTGTCCTGGGCGGTCTAAACCCTCCCATTGTGAGACCCAAAGATGTCTTTAGATATTGTTGCCAAATGTTCCGTGGGGAGAGGGGCAAAGTCAGCCCCTCCCCAGCCCCCTGAGCACCAGGGCCGCCGATGATCTGCTAGGTCCACTCGGAGACTGACCTGGAGACCCCATGCGCAGACAAAGTCAGCTGTCCAGTGACAGAGGGACAAATAACGCCAGCAGCGTGGACTTGATTGCTGCTGTTGTCCCTCGTCCATTTAATCTCCAGCTAAAGGGCCACTTGAACCTAGGGACAAAGTGGCTTGGCTGACAATTTGCTTTAACAAACTTGCTGAGATACTGCTGCCTTTCTTTCCTGAGTCCCCAGCTTTAGGACTCCATACATCAGCTGCAACTCCGAAGATGAATTGGAGCTCGAAATTGTTCAATAGCAATTTGGAATTGATAAAATGGCGAGACCCAAAAGATATCAAAACCAGGGGGGAGGGGATCGTCAGATAAGTGGTGATTAGAGCAATTAGCCAGCCTCTGCATTCATAAATCATCGCCAGCAAGGGGGCGCGGGGCCAGCGACAGTGGGCTTTGAGCCCCACAAGAAAGCTCACCCAGGGAATGACAAGCTTGGGTTTGGAAGCAATTTTAGCCCAACTTCTCAAATCTCTAGAGTTTGAGGACTGGCTCTCCCAGGCAGGAAGCCAGCCACCCGAGGTGGACAGACCAGATCTATAGGCACCATCATCTCCGAGAGCCTGGTCCGCATTAAGAGGAGGTGGTGGTGGGGGGGGGAAGCCTACCCTATACTTCCCGAACCCAAGCCTCCCATTTCCCAGATGACAGCAAGAATGTGGCCAATTCAGGGCACTGGGCTTCCCGGCACAGAGAACGATCCAGATCATGATGTATGGGCCAGCCTTGCCTCTGGGGTCCCTTTTGAGCTTGAGAAGCTTGAGGTGCTGGGAATTCCAGAGGGGAAAAATTGGGCACAAAAGAGCACACATCAGTGCCCCTTTCAATGAAAGGCCTAGCCAAGTATCTCCCTGGCTTTTAGAAAGCAGCTTCATTTACATATCGTTGACATGTGATAGAATCTACCCATGGGACATGTGATCAGGAGAGGGACATGTGATCAGGAGAGACCAGGCCCCGGAGAAGGACGAAGACCCTCGAGGAGATGGCTGGACCCAATAGCTGAACTCGAGCAAGAGCCCCAGTGAGGATGGCGCAGGAGCAGGCGGCTCAGCCTTCTGTTGCTCACAGTGGCGATGAGTCACCACCACCTCAGCGGCACACAACAGCCACGAGCACGTGGTTCGATGATGGTGAGAACATGTACACAACTGTGCAACCATCACCGCAGTCACATTCACTTTTATTTAAGGTGCAGGCCCTCAGTGTGGTCTGTCCTTCCTTTCTGCTGCCCTTCACCGGGGCAACTTTCACCTTCCACTAGGACCCCCCTTGGCATTGTGGGCTTCGCTTTGGACTGTGCACCACAAGGGTCAGCTGTGTGCAAACCACCACCACAAACCTTTAAAGGGCAGCTTTAAAGGTTTACAGTCTCCTGAACCCACAGGGGCTGTTCTACTCTGTCCTGGAGGGTCACGATGAGTCAGACGCGGCTCAATGGCAGAGTTTGGTTTGTGCTGGTGAGAAGGCACCCTGTCTTAGCAGAGGTGACAGTGCTTGGCTGCTCCTTGAAAGATGGGTGCTCAGCACCCAGCAGCTCCTCTGAGGGAGCAGGCTGCGGCAACTGTGCCTCCTGAAAGAGTCACGGCTTTGGAAACCCTGTGGGGCAGTTCCTGGTGACCCGTGGAGTTATCCTGGCCTGTTCTTCAGAAGCAGTAGGTCACCACACTTTGCTTCCTACTCTCTATGTTGGAAGCTCCACTGGCACCCATGCACCCCACCAACCTGCGAACCTCCCGACCTGTGGCTGATGGCTGCTCACAGGGCACACTGGTTGGAAATCAGGTGGGCTCCCACGTGCGGGAATCTACTACACCTCCACTGTTCCTGATCCCAGATCAGCTTGCTGAAAGACAGCCAGAAGTAGCCAGAATGAATTCCTTAGTGCTCCTTTCCCCAAGCAAACAATGGGAAACCAGTGGTTTCTAGAAACCCTCACCAACCCCTGAAAGATAAAGAGTTTAATAATACCATCCTCTTAATCTTTTTTCCTATCCTCACCCAGATCTCTTGGCTGGTTAAAGAAAATTAAGCCATCAGAAAGTGACCTTGGTCCAGGAACCCCCACCCACCCACCTTCTCCTCTAGAGCTCTTAGATCGTTGTCTCCCTCACACACATGCATCTAGCAGCGGTGCCTAAATTGGATGAAGGTTCAAAATGTGTGCCAGCGTCCTTCCCTTCTTCCCTTTGAGGAACACATTATCTGCTGGAGTGATTCCACAGCTTTCCAGGACAAGTTTAACTGCACAGACCAGGGGGGTTCAAAAGGGTCATGGCAGATTTCCACTATCTTTTCATTTCATTTTTCCATCATCCTTTCGAAGCCTCCTCATATGCTGGGCATGTCCCCATTTGGGGGTTTTGTTTTGCTTGTTTCGGGAGTTTGCTACGGTTGAATGACAGGTATTGGGAGTCAGATGTAGGGGTGGATCCTTAGCTCAGTCATTTATGAATAAGTCACTTCCTGTCTTAGAGCCTCAGTTTTCTTTGCTTTGTAAAGTGGGGGTGGCATTCAAGTCCACCTTCCTGGGGAGAGAGATGGAATTGCCTTTAGTGTGGTGGATGGCTTGTAGCAGGAGCTCAATCAATGATTATTATGATTAGCACTTGGAGACTCAGATGGCACAATTTTACTACCTAGTTTCTAAGTAGAAATGGCTACCATGTTTTAATGATCACTGATTAAAATAAATACATATGAAAGAATTCTGTCTTCAAGAAGTCTTTCTGAAACCGCCCTTCGCCCTGGAGCTGAAATGTGTAAGTCATGGAAATGTGTAAGTTACTTCTCCTGCCCCAGGACAGCAGACAGAAAAAGAGGCTGGAATCGCAGCAGATTCCTCAACCAGGTTAATGTTAATTACTCTCTTTTCATACTTCATCAGAATTCTAAATAGCTCCAAGAGGTTAATAAGCCAAGTTCTTGCCTTTCCAACTTTGGCTGTTGGGCTCTAAACCTATCTTATTTACCTCAGGCAACTTACTAGGGGAAACATTTCCAAAGGAGGACGTCAACACTGAAGCTTAACCTTCTTCCGTCAATAAGTTTTATATTGATTGACAGTCATGAGACGGCCCTGCCGGAAAGATGATCAAGCTGATTTATCTTCAGGGCTGGGTTGTCCAAACGCCCAGGTGAGCATATTTGTGAGCCTGACGTTCTATTTTGCTTGCATTCCTGATTGGTTCACAAGAAACTACAAGCTGAAGGTTTGATGAATAATCAAGGAATTACAGTAGCACACGGAGGGAGGTTTTGTTTTTGTAGTTAAAAACAAAACAACACCCTCCCCCCGCCAAAAAAAAAGCAATCCTCTAAACTCATTGCCCTTGAGTTGATGCCAACTCATCGTGACAAGCTGGCACAGGGTGGAACCGCTCCTGTGGGTTTGAGGCTGTAACTCTTTACTGGGGGAGAAAGCCCCCTCTGTCCCCCTCAGAGCTGCTGCCGGTTTCCAAAGATGGACTTGGGGTTAGCAGCAAGGTACCTCATAATGAAGCCCATGCCCAGAGGCATGGTGGGAATGACTTCCGGAGCCCAAAGGTTTCATCATACACCTAACAAATATTGAACATTCACCACCATGTGCAAGGTAGCTGAGTTAAATATGCATGGGTGTAAAGCAGACGTATGTAGGACATGCACACAGAGACACACCAAAACGCCGCTTTTGGAAATTCCAGGCATCCTCTTGGTGCTGGGCAGATACAATCCCTTTGAACGATACACCATTTTCGCCATACAATCGGCGTCGCTGCATAAATAAATAAACAAAAATTCCAACAGCGATTAAGAACTAACACCCAGGCACCTGCCATCTGTGTATAATTTTTAAGTCACCACTGGAACAGCGTGTTGTTTCAGTCAACCGATGGTATCAGCCCTTTTATGGCTGGTGGGGAAAAAAATGTGATTGCTTGCTGTTCTGATATTATCTCTCACCATACTTGCCTTTAATCTGACTTTTCTATATTTAGTAGTCATTTTAAACTTAAAAAAAAAAATCCACCATCTTCGTTGTCACAACAGGCCAATCCTAGTGCTGGGGCTATTGTTTAGCCTTTATAGGCAGTTCAATGGTGATGAGGGTGGAGTCGGAAATTTTGGAAAATTGAAGGTCACCTTTAAGAATTGGAATGGGACCAGAAAGGGAAATAAAACCACCACCTATTCCCCTTCAATCATCTCAAAGTGCTATTTAAACTTTCCAAGCTAAAAGAAGAGGGGAGGGGAGAAGGGTTACACCTCAACTATTTTGGGGGTGTGTGTGAGAGGGCAATATGGAAAATTTGCACCATAATATTCCATTTAGAGGTTTTTACCCTTCTCGGGTTTTCGGATATCAATCTTACTAAAGTCAATTTTGGAACATGCTATCACACAAAAACTTTAGAGGAACCTCGCAAATTTTAATACGTAGCCACTACTACCCCCAGCGCTGACTCTCACAGTTGACGCCAGGACGGGACCCCCTCGATTCCATCCACGTTCCAGCCACTGGGCGCCCGGATGCTAATTAGCTGCGCTCCCCTGATGAACACGCCTTTGTCACGTGCAGGAACGGACTACAAAGCCCAGAATCCCTCGCCCCTCCCTGATCAATGAGGACTTATTTAAATGATCTCCGAGGTCTTGGACCCAGGCCAATCAGCTGTCAGGGCTCATGATAAATCGCAATGCATTATTGATAATAATAATTACTGGGACATGCGCGTTCCGGCCGAAGGGGGGTAAATTTCCTAACTCCAGGAATTTGTGGCTGAGAGGGCAAACCGCCGCGGCTCTCCCGGCGTCCCGATGCTCGCACCATGTCGAGGCGCAAGCAGGCGAAACCCCAACACATCAATTCGGAGGAGGACCTGGAGGAGCAGCAGCCGACCCCGGAGCTGGCGGCGGCGGCCCCAGACGCGCCGACGGCGGGGGAGCCGGGTAAGTGCGGCTGGGCGCCCGCCCGGCCGGGAGACCCCTCCAGGCTGCTCACGGGACCCTCGCGGGCGGGGGGCTTGGGGAGCCCAATCCCTGGAACCTGGGTCCCAGGACGCAGTCCCGGGCAGTCCCAACGCCCCCTCCCTTGCAAATTTTACACTTTTTTTCTTCTCTCTCCTTGCAAGTCTCACCCCTTAACCCTTGTACCTCTTCTTGTAAAGTTGCGCCCCCCCTCCTGACCACCCCCGGAGTCCCAGGAAGATCCCTCTCTTCTCAGCCTCTCTAATTGGCTTCACTCCTTACCCCCCCCAACTTGTAATTTAGGTTCCCCTCCCACCCTGGCGCCACTTTTAAAAGAAAGAGCCCCCTCCCGGGTCCCCAGCCTCGCCCCCACCCCTTGGGGGCTTTTCTGGAAGGTGGGAGGAGGGGCGCACCCCTAGGGGGGGGAACCCAAAGGAGGGTGATCTGTTGCACGCGTCTCTCTCGGGCCAAGTGCCCACCTCGGCGCTGAGGTCAGCCTCAGGATGAGCTGTGTGGTGGTTCTGGGTGTGGGGCCAAGGGGGGGGGAGGGGGCGCGACCTCTCCCCACCTCCTGGGTTGGGGTGAGGGCCACCCGCGCTGCGCCTGGGGTCGCGGGGTGGGGGGCGGGGGGCTCGCACGAGATTTCCTTTTACTTCGTCCACTTTTGGGCTTTCGCCCGGCGCGTCGCTGGTCGCCGCTCTCCGCCCTCACCTTTCGGGGCCTGACCTCCAGCCATCTTTGATTTCCGAATTCCTAAAAATAGCCACGGCCCGCTGAGGGGGCCGAGCCCCCTGGGCCAGGGTCGCGGGCGCTGTACGGCGCCTCCGCTGCAGCACCGGCGCTGTGCGGGGCAGTTCTGGGGTGCGCGACTCGTTGCGCCCGAGGGAGAGGAGAGGCTGGGCTCGGGGGTCGCGGCCAAGCGAGTTTGCAGCTGACCGCGGGGCCACGCGCCGCGGCGGCTCTGGGGGAGTTCGGGACCCAGCCCTCCGGGGGGCGCGGACCAAGACCCCTCGTACCCCTGAAGGAGGCAGGCCCGAGGAGCGAGGCGCTGTCCTGCGATCGCTGCGCCTTCGTGGCCCGCCAAATTGTCGCCTGATAAGTTTTTAGCGTGGGGGAGGGGGCGCTTCTAATCTCTCGGTCCCGGGCGCTGTTGGGCGCCTGCCCTCCGGCTTTCCGATTTCCCAGCAGCTGATACCGGGGTGTGCGCCGCAGCCCTGGACGCCGGGAGTGCTCCCCGCGACGCTCGGTTCTGCTCCGCAACACGGCCGCTGCTGCGTAAAGTCAACTTCTGCCCTGGATGTTAACTTTCAGTGGGGGAGTCGGATGTAGTTCCCCAAATTTATAATAGGCGAGAGAATTCCCGCGATCCCCCAAATAACGTTTTCCTGGGGCGCCGTACAAGGACCGGTATGCCCGGGGAGGCGGGGTGCGTTTTCGGTGCGGCCGGAGGTCAAGGCAGTGTGCGCTGGGGGACTCTTTGTGCCCTGGGTCTGGGCGGGGCGGGGGGCAGCGCGGAGGGCCCGGGTCGCCTGGTCCACCTGGAACAAAAGGGTTAACCGTAGGCCAGCCCGCTTCCTCCCCGCGGAGAGGAGGGGCGAGCTCCCGCCGCTGACCCCTCCCCTGGTCCTGCTCCGCTCGTCCCTTCCCCCTACTCGTCTTTTTGGGTGGGCGCGCGCACAAACGAAGCTTTTGGGGGGGCGGCAAGGAGGGCGACCTGTTAGGAGGGCCTTTTAATAAACGCCAGGGAGAGTTTAAGATTGAGCTTTGCCTGGGCAGCACTGCGGTCCTCGCCCGCGTTTGCGCTCCCAGTGATTTGGTTTGGGGGGGTGGGGTGTCCACTATCGATCGCCGGTTAAGCGGATCGCGGGTTGCGCGCGCGCGCCCCCTGGAGACCCAGCCTTCCGCCGCGCTCCGCGCTGGGAGGCGGGTCCCTTGCTGGTACCAGCTCACACCTGTAGGTGGGACGAGCGGAGAGGGTCGGGCCACCAGGAGGGGTTCCCCTTTGGGCTTGTGCCAGCTGGTGACGCCACCTCCGGCCGCTCCTGTGTTCTCGAAGGCTTTGGAATTTGATGAAAGAACTCGACCCCCTAAAAGTGCTTACCGAGCCCCAGGTGCCACCGTGGGCTGGGAGATGGCCTTTCCCAGGCTGCACACTTATTTATTTGAGTGCCGCGTTTTGGCTGTTTGCAATTTAGCCGCCTCCGTGGATTGGATAGGGGTGTGTGTATTTCTTGGTTTTGTTTTTTAAGTAATGTTAAGGTTCGACTGGTTTTGATCGGCAAAGCCATTGAAAGCATGCAATTTTTGAGGCTGGAAAATGGAACCTGGCCATCAATTAGCAGATCAAAAAAATCTGCAGGTGGTCGGGAGGCCCACCCTACCGACAGGGAAATTAGCATTTTCTCAAAAGAGTTTCAAATGCCCTTTGTGCTAAACTGGATTACAACCATCAACGATTAAGATTCCCGAGTTTCACATAACTGCCTAGCCCCAGTTTCAGGCCAGCCAAGACCAACACCACCTTTAAGGTTTCTGAAGAGGTACTTGTGTTTTAAGATACAGGATTGCTGGTTCCAGTTGATGTGGCAGAGACTGGGGGTGTATTTGGTGCGGGGGGTGGGGGGGGTTCCTTTGCTCTGCAAAAATAGTTTGCAAGGTGAAATGTCTGCCACCCCCTCCCACCACTACTGAAGATGAAACTTCAGTGAGTTCCTAAGTACCCCCAGCATGGCTGCTGGGCAGCTCCCCTCAGGAGAGCCTTCCCACCCGGCAGGGTGGGGAACATGTAGAATCGAGGTGTGGAGGCATGAGGGCTGCATCGCTAATCTGGTTGTGTATGACTTTCAGCTGTATGACCTTGAGCGGCTTTTCTTGTTTTTTCTTACAATGATAAAACCCCAGTTGAGATAAAATTAACCCGAGGCCCTTACTCTGGGCAGGACCAGGCTCAGTCCTTTAGGGGCAGAATTGGTACTGTTCTGTGTATACTGGTCTGCTGAGGTTGGGGGAGTGTGCCCCAACCAATTCTCGCAACAATTCCTAAAAAATCTTTGTTTTTATCCTTTTTCTGATAAGGCCTCCTGAGGGCTTGTTTTCAGCCCTTCTAGGAATCCCAGGGGTTTGGGGGCTGTACTTTTGGCCCATCTAGGAGGAGACTGCTCTTGTGGGGTGGGCTTGGCTTCCCCTCTTGAGATATTAGAGGTGGGCTTTGGGTGCCCGCTTCAGATCAAGAGGTCTTTTAGGCACCAGTTGGACGAGAAGCTACATTTGCATTCGGTTGGTGTTTTTCTGGGCCCTTAGTGCCCAGAGAGTCCAAGTTGATCAGTCCTTTCCCATCGCTGTCCCTTGTTTTTAAAAAGCACGCACACATGTTTGAGCCCATGAGCCTAGGCCAGGACAGCTTCCCCAGGCACCCGCCATATGCCCTTTTGTTTCTAAACACAATTTTCCGAGTGTGTATCAGACTTATGTGAAGGGATAGTAGGGTTTGCTTAAAAGAGTTTACCTCCAGTGGAGACAAAGTGGGAAGTTAGTCTCTAAAGTGGGGCAGCTCCCCATATCTAAGCAGCTATAAATAAGTCACCGTCCTTTTTGTCTCTGCAAGTCCCTGAGTTTCGATCTGAAACTGATAGCACTTAATTAATGAGACACCCCATTCCGTTTGAGTTAATATTTGCCCCCTGGGAAATTGTGAAATTAAGAATACTTTCATTCAAGGAAGGAAGTACACTTAAAGGTTAGCCCCATTTTTTTATTTTAAATTTTGGGTGGGCAGTTACCCAAGGAGGGCTGAGAGGTGGTAGAAGGGCAGATAAACTTTTCATTGTGGCTCTTTTACTGTAGGAATGGAAGGCAAAGATAAGCATTGAGTCAGTGGTTTCATGAAGATCTTGTCGTTTTATTTTTTAAGTGTTTTAGTGGGCCTGTGGTGATGGGCTTGCCTGGGATACAGTAGTAAAGGAGTTTCTATCCATTTGGCAGTGATTGAATCTAAGACCCCTGCTGGGTTTACGGCATTCTTCCAACTTATTGGATAACTAGATGTGGAGAGATAACATTCCTAAAATTCGGGGTGGGGGTGGGGTGGAGGGGTCGGAGAGCTAGCTGGAGTGTAATCCTCTGAACTTTGCTTCCCCCCCCTTTTGGGGAGGGTTAACCTGCTCGCGCACATCGGGCAATTGTTCCTCACCCTGGAGCTCTTGGGCAAATGACAGTGTTGCTAGCGATTTGCTAGTGGTGATCTGGATTGTAGTGTCTTTTTCTCTTTTTTACGGGACGTGTAACTAGCACTGTTGTGGTCTCACTTCAGACTCCAGTGGGATATTGCTTGGTGTTGCAGGGGGAGGCTGGTTGTGTATACAGGGGAGGCAAGCTGGGATCCAGGTTGTAAATCACTCTCTCCGGGGGCGGGAGGTGGATCCTCCAGGAGGATGGGGGCATTTAACCTTTTTTGTGCCATAGGATGACTTTGGCATCCCTGTAGACCTTTTCCACCTCGTGTCTTATAAATATATAAAGTCAAATACACGGATATTGGAATAAATACATTACACTGCCATACAACTGTGAAACATCGAAGGTCTTTGTGGGTCAGTAACAAAAAAGCCATCCAGCGCCAGCAGCCGGCCAATTCCCAAGTGTAATGTCCACATCTATAACACGGTAGGAAAATATCAGTCACACATGTCCCGTGCACTCATAATGGGCAGAAATGCTAGCCTAGACCAAAACCTGGTTGTTATTTTTCATAGCAGAGTTCCTGGGCCCCGGGCTGTGACCATCCCACATTGGGCTAGGGAATGAGGTGGTTGGGAAGGGCTAAAGCCAGAGGGCAAAATCCTGGAGAAGGGTCTTGGCCATTCAAAGGGGCCACATTTCTTGAGGCAGATATACAGTCTATGGGTAATAAAATTTAATAGCAGGGTGTGTGTCAGGAGCAGCATTTGAGATGCTAATGAAGATTTGAGCAGCACTGGTCTCACCCCCCCCCTCCCACCCCCAAAAGCTATATTAATCAATTCTGGTCCTTTTAAATAAGAATTCTTTTTAAAGTAATAAACTCCATGCCATGGAGTAAATTTTGACTCTTGGCAATCCTGTAGAGTGGAGTAGAAATGACCCTGTGGGTTTCCAAGAGAGACTAATTTTTCTTCTGAGGAGCCTCTGGTGGTTTTGAACTGCTGACCTGGTTAGCAGCCCACCAAGTAAGCACTAACACCTGGGCTACTCCTTTTAAACAGTGTTTAAATTCCATTCCTGCTTTTTGACGTTCTAGTGAGCAGTTTTATCACCTTGAGTCATTTGATTCTTCAACTGTGGGGGGTGGGGTTTAGGGTCACTCCATTTTCCTATGTGGAAAATTGAAATAATGTTGTTTTTTTGATTACAGGAGTGGGGGGGGGGTGCTGAAAAAGTGGCAGGGAGGATTTGCATGAGATTCATTAGAGGTCTTCCAGAAATAGAATTAGGTGGTCATAAGCTAGCAAACAGTGCTAAGGGGGTGGGGGTGCAGCACCGCCAGCCCCCTGCTCCTGGCCCTCTCAAACCCCAGGAAGCAGAGACCCACAGCAGTGGATCATTTACCATTTTAGCTATTTTCCATATCCATGTTTGAGTATCTTGATCTGCAAATGCAAACAGGCGCCTGATTCACATCCTGCTTTTTTTGCTCTTGAAAGGAATCTTGGGGCAGTGGCCAGTATAACAAAAGCCACACTGGGGCGGCTTCAAGGAGCAAAATTTACTTTTTAAAGGGGGCGTGAAGGCAGAAACCCATGGTCTCTCTTTCAGCCTCTGAGCATCCTCTGGCATCTTATCTCCCCCCATCTCTGCTTCCTTGTTTCTTGGCTTGCTCAATCTGCCCTTTTTTATATCCCAAAAAAGATGGATTTAAGACACACCCTGGAGTTAATACGGCCTCATAAACATAACAAAGATCATCCATTCCTAGATGGGATTCCTTCCCCAGGTGTGGGGGCTGGGCTTTACCAGGTAGACTTAGAGGAGCCATCCCAGGCAGACGGAAGTACTCTGTTCCTAAGCTCTCTTTTAACTAGAACCTTGCAGTAGATGGAGTGCAACTTCTTAATTGGAATTCGGGGAGGGGCAGTAACAGTTGGGACAAAGGACCTAGTTGCCTTAGCTGCTGCTGCCCAGCTCTCAGAAGCCGGGCCTACCAGGTATGTGTTACCCAAGGACAGTAAGAACTTACTGAGGTCCTAGTACACATAAATTACCCGTATTGCCTTCCCAGAAATGTGGTACCACTTTAACACCACCTCCATCCCCCGCAAGCAAGTCGTGGAGAATTCGTATTGATTGGTATCTTAAGGGTTCTAGGCATTGACGTGTGTCTTGACTTGCCCCCGAGGCCCGTGGCTGTTAGAGCAGTGCTGGGGGCCTTCAGGAGAAAGGCTGGGTAGGATTCCGAAGGGTTTTGGCGCTTTGAAGTCAGCTGCCCCTCCTAAAGAAAGGGCTTACCTGTCCACCCCCAATTTCTGTGAGAGGAGAAGGGTAGGTAGCCTTTCAAAAGCAGAAATACCGATGGGAAGTGTCCATCATGATTGTGAGGTCTGTCTTAGAAGAGCTCGTGGGATAGGGGAAAGGGCTAAGCGCCGGACTGCTAGCTGCAGGTTGGAGGTTGACACCCGGCCTGAGGCCCCTCAGGAGATGGGTGTGCAGGTTCCTTTCCGAAAGTCACAGCCTGAAAGCTCTTATAGCCACCCCAGCACAATTCTGCTCTGCACACATGAGGTGCTGGTGGGAACTGATAGCAGCAAGTCACTAGATAAGTTAGTTACCTGTGCTGAGCTAACGTACCCTTACTCGTTGCCCCCTTTGCCACAGAGCATGACAATGCCATTCAGTCTATTCCGGACTGGCCCTGGCCCGACCAAGCAGTAGAATTGCCCCTGTGGGTTTCTGAGGCTGTAAATCTTTACCGAAGAAGAAAAAGCCACCTCTTTCTCCCTTGGAGCAACTGGTGGTTTTGAACTGCTGACCTTGTGGTTAACAGTTCAACTCGGAACCAACTCTAACCATTGTACCACCTGGGCAGTTCTTTTAGCCAAACACATTGACCAGAAGAAGCGGGTGCTGGCTAATAGGCATGATTGACCTGCTCCGCGCTAGACGACAAAGTCTTGCCTGGGAGGAAAGGTAGACTATAACTGAGAATTCTTGAAAATATCAGACCCTGAGATCTGTCCTTTTAGAACCCCTTACTCCTGGAACCAAGTCCACCCACCCCTGTCATCACCTTGCAGTCGAACAACTGACAACCCTGTAAAAGAATAACCCATTCACCAAATAGTCCACAACACAAAACCAAAAAAGAAAAAAATGAGACGCTTATTACCCCAAAACAGCATAGCTGAGCAGGCAGGAGAGGAGCTGTGGTGGAGGCCCAGGGAAGACTTTGGGGAGAGTGTGTCCTACATCGAGGGCGGAAATGTGTATAGATGGTTGAATGGTAAATGCATTTGCCCTGTGAGCTGTGTCTCTTTGGGCAAGTCAGTTGGATTATCTCTGAATCACAATCATTGAGGCTGATGGGCGCACAATTCTATGTATGGGGCGCTTGGCCTGCCCCGTCTGCACCCAGGAGGATGGGGCAGTCTTTTTCCCCCTTAGATGCTTAGCCTGGGTGCGTACATAGCAGATAAGTATTGGTCTGACAGTAAACAAATGCCTTTTTAAAAACCACTAATGTAATGCTTTTCAGCCTTGCTTGTTTTATGCTGCAAGATGCTGTCTACCCCTCTTCTAGTAAGACTTGGGCATCTAGGTCTACAGTAACCCCTTTGTAAGCAACACCCACCCAGCTCAGTGCCATTGAGTCGATGCTAGCCCATAGCGACCCTATGGGACAGGGTAGAACTGCCCCTGTGGAGACGAATTCTGTATGGGAGTAGGCAAGCCTGTCTAACCCTCCCGCCAGGAGCAGAGTGTTGGTTCCAAACGGCTGACTTTGGGGTTAGCAGCCAGTGTGTAACCACCACACACCAAGGAACCTTTTATAGACAAATAGGTCATGTAACAAAGTCTGAACCGGTCGGGTTTGCCCGGAAACGGGTCTGTGCTGGATTTTGCATGTTGGGTTTCAGAGAAATAGCCATCGACATTAGCGGCCATACCCATGGAAGCTGCAAAGGGGGGTGAAGGTGTGGACGGCATCACCCTGCTTTCTATCCTGGTACTTTTCTGTAGAAGGCCTGCTTTCCTCTTCTCATCCCCTAACCACCGAGAGATGTCTGCCAGGTCCCTGAGACCTGCTTCCTGATCTCGGCCTTTCCCCGAATGCGACGCTATCGTGGGAACAAGGCTTATTCACATTCATGTTTTCAGACCTCGCCATCCCAGTCCACCCTGTGTTCCACTCTCTTTACTTCAGGTGATCTTAGAGCCGCCGTTGTGGCTTGATGGGAGCCTCGGGTGCAGAGGTTACATGCTTGCCTGCTGCCTGAGAATCCCCCAGCCCTTCCCTCCGTGGAAGGATGAAGCAACGTGCTTCCGTGTGGGTGGTTTTCTGCCCCACAGTCAGAAATCCACGTGGGCCTGGCGACGGGATCCTGAGTCAATCAATGGCTGCCTTCTTTCTCGGTCGCACTTGGCCTTTGGAAGGGTCGCGATTAGTTGCACAGTGAGCGGTGATGGACCCAAGAAAGGAGGTGCTGTGAGCAGGTCTCCTCCGTTCATGTTGTCACCGACTGAAGGAAGTCCATTTCCCTTTGTGAGCCACCCTGAATTCAGCGTGGGGTGCACACCGTTACTTCGGCTTCGATGCCAGGCTTCATGCCTCTTGTGCCATTGGCTGGCTTAGTACCATGCCGTGACGGTTGGATGTCAGGTTAGAATGAAAGACGTGTTGATCGCTGTGGTTTTCTTACTTCCGTGCCACGTGCTTAGCTGTCTTCTCTCTTTTGCCGCAGGTGCTGTGATGAGCCACCCAGCACCCCAGGACGAGGTGGTGGCGGGCGAAGAGCCGGTGGGCAAGCGGCTTCGTCGCGAAGACACCCACGTCTGCAAGAAATGCTGCGCGGAGTTCTTCAGCGTCTCCGAGTTCATCGACCACAAGAGGAATTGCACGAAGCACCCGCCTGTGCTCATCATGCATGACAGTGAGGGGCCGCTGCCTGCCGAAGACTTCCCCGGAGCGACGCTGAGCCACCAGCCCC